ATTACACGACAATTTGAAAGGATGATTTTCCCCTTTCCCTCTATCCTGGACACCCCTGTAAGTTGGACACATTATCGTGGAACCGCAAGTGTCCAAGTTAGAGAGGTTTTACTGTATTGGTTTTAGGTGACATAAATGGTGGATATGCATAAGCAATAATCGTAGTAATCTGAGTGTTGCATTGAGTTCTGTGCGGTTCAGACAGCTGCAAAGATATCCCCCCTGAAATCCATTCCCAAGTAACAGCAAATTACATCGCTGATAGTTTTGGCATTATATGCAATGAAGCTTTTTGAAGTTAAAATTATAGAAATGGTTATTTATCCTTCACTACAATATATGCTACCACCTGATGTAGAAAAATTGTACACGAAATTAATCAAATTCTAAATTAACTTTGATAAGATACATTAAAATAAGATGAACTTAAGTAGAGAGGTCTGCATGTGTCTGGCCCAGGGCCTTGTAGCACAGATAATGTTCAGGTCCAGGCCACATTCAGGCTTGGTTAAAATAATAGCAGTTAGGCATTGAAGACTTTGGGCTTTCTCTGGCCTTTCTTTTTCAGAAAGAAAATGTATTTGTAATTTTTGTAATTGCATTCATCTTATGTTTGTGCTCGGGCCAGATGATCTTCAGGCTGGGCTGAGTAAAATCAAAAATATCTAAAATTTTGGCAGGAAGTGTTGTAAAGGAAAAATACGCTTCTCAGAAGTGATGTTGGAAGCTAAACGGAATAAATTGCAGTACACTACAGCTACAGATACTCAGTATAAGTTGCAAAGTAAAATAAAATAATCAAAACTTAAATGTATTGCAGAATGGTGCATAATATTTATTAAATGCAGTAAGGTAGAACAACAAAACAATTTTGTAGTTTTCAAATAGCATTGAAATTTTTTTATTTGTATATATTATTTTGATTTTGATAACCGCCACGGTGGTCTAGCGGTCAGAACGCTGGCCTTGTAATCCTGGGGTCTTGGGTTCGATTCCCGGCGGTGCCCGAATTTATAACTTGTGTCGGGCAAGGCCGTGGTCTAGGCAACACGGAGTTTTCCTCCGGGGGCTTCCCGGTTTCTCCGTGGCATCCCAACAATTACTCCATTCACACTCACACAGAAGAAGGCAATGGCAAACCACTTCTGGATCATCTGCCAAGAACGTATATGAACAGGTCCCAGTCCGAGAAAAGGATGGAAGGATCCTGTTCATATGGACCTGTCGTCAGACAGAACACTAATAAAAAAATTATTTTGATATAAATTCCATCTGTAGCTTATCATATGTTCAACTGTTGCTGTAGAAAGTTATCACAGTGTTTAAGTCTGAAACAGTCATTTTTCATGGAAACCCTGCATTACCATTGGTACAACTTACCTTTAATACAAGGGTGGCACAATGTTGTATAACGAGTATATAGATCACTAACCATTTCAACATATCTTCCCCTAATGAATAATAAAATGTACATAGCCAAGGGTGGTCACTTCTGATTTCTGTTACAATGTAAAAGACTGTTTATTTATTTTTTGTGGTATTTATGTTTCAGTACAAGACACTTCAAGATGTGTGAAAGCACGTTATGTTATGGCTTTGATGGGCTTCCTGGGGTTTGCCAATGTTTATGCAATGAGAGTGAACCTGTCTGTAGTAATTGTTGCAATGGTGAACAATACTGCAATTCCAAAAGCAAATAACTCCGATAGCACTGATGTGTGCCCCACGGAGTTCATGAACCAGACTGTTGTACAGGTGGTGCATAATTCTGATATTGTTCATTATGTCTTATGAAAAGTGGCATAAAATTACAAATGGATTTAAGATGTCTATCTCGTGGCTTATTATAGCACCTGCTAGTGTAATTTCATGGTGATGTTCTTCGGGTTCCATGAGAGTAAGGAATTTTTTAACATACAAATATCTGTCCGAGGGCTCTGACATGTAATTGGTTGGGCGGTCGGTCAGTCAGTGAACTGGTTGATTTCTTGGTTGGCGAGTTAGTCTGTTATGGAGAGTATGTGCTTGTAATAAAAGCAACAATATTCAGAGATATTTGAAAAGTGGAAGCAGAATTTTCTTTGCACAAAAATGTAAATTCTAAATATATGCCAAAAATAAGATACTTCCAGAAAAACACTTTCTTCTCCTTTTAATCTATGAACAAGATGTTAATTTTTTAGCATTATGGTGTAGATATATGACAGTTTTGCGCAGAACAAACACACACGTATGAGTGAAAAATATTCTGCTGTTTAAAGCAAGCCATACAAGTGTGTGGGTATAATAGTGTGTAATTAAATATGTTTTGCCTCTGTTGTACAATATCATTAATATTAAAAATGTTAACTTTTTTATATTCTCTTATTATTAAGTAATAAATAGATATAAATTAAATTTGTTTTTCTTTGCACGCGACTGACTTGTAACATTTGCCTGTAATGTAACGTGTTACAAATCGAGCATTACACAAGTGAAGACAGCGAACGGAGCCGCTCGATGCGAGCCGCTCACGCTCGCGGGCGCTCCATCGTGTTGTCGGTTTTTTTTGCGAATCCCTTTGAATGTTACATTACAAGTCAGTCAGTCGAAAGGCGTCGTAACGAGCATTCACGAGTTCTTTAGATAACAGTAGCGTATTAAATGAAACAAAGATAACACAACCTCCACGTCCGACATATTGAATGAAATGAATGGAGCACAGTCGAACCGAGTGTTCAAAACGAGCATTCGATGCGCCTCACCAGTTGTGGTGTAATGTAACATGCTCACCGCGAATGTTACATTACGAGTAAATGTTACAAGTCAGTCGCCACCTTTAGGGTTTGCATGCATGGGCTTGCCTTGTATTTGTAGAGGCTTCTACAAGATTTTTAATTCACAGTTCCTCCTTTTTGGTGAGTAATGTTATCAAAAATGTTTATTCTTGCCTTCATGGTCATTTAAATTTCTTGAAGTAGTATCTTTGTTCTGTTACAGCCAGAGGGAGAATTTGTATGGGATGAATCTATCCAAGGTATAATTCTTGGTTCATTCTTTTATGGGTATATCGTGACTCAAGTCCCAGGAGGGCGATTTGCAGAACTTTATGGAGGAAAACTGGTATTTGGTCTTGGTGTTCTTATCACAGGCATTCTCACTGCCATCAGCCCCCTAGCAGCTAAACTGGGGACATCTTTCTTTATTGTAATCCGGGTCTTAGAAGGACTTGCTGAGGTAAGATGTGTTACACAAGATAATATTAGCCAAAAATGTATGTCAAATGCTTATTATAGCTGAAATGTAACCCTCAGGAAAAAAAAACAATTGGTGTAACACACATTACGAGGCGCGTCCTCAAAGTAAGTTTCCCTGGGGCCGTTTACAGAAACAAAACACAATTTCATGGAAATATTTATTGCAACAGATACAGCAAGTGTCCAGCTATTTTTCAACATATTCGCCACCAGAATTGAGACATTGGTCATACCGTGGGACCAACTTTTGAATACCTGGG